TACTTGTATAAAAACACAGTTTTACGAAATGAAAATTACATTTTTAAATAAGTTTTTTTCATAATTTGCGCCACTGGACAAGGATATGATCTCCTTTATTTTTCTAAAAAGAGCGTAACTCAGAAAAAACATAAGTAAGATATTTTTCGATCGGAAGCGTTTATTACAGTTAAATTATGGTCGAATACTGGTAATCTAATGATTTTTTTCGCAGTAGACAATTCTTTTCAATACTACAACAATGCTACTTTTTATACACATACTACAACAACAAGAAAGTTATAACGCATCAAAAACTTTAACGCCAATATCTCAGAAAGCATTTTAACAGAAGCGGCCTCATTGCATCTAACTCCTCATTTTTTGGGGATAAAACAAAGATAATTTGATTTTCCTGTGTATTTTTTTTTAATATGTTAAAACAGACTTTCAATAAAAAGCAAACACTTTTTTTTGCTAATTTTTACATTCGTAAGTTAGTTTATTCTGGCGTCCCACATACGTATATAGGTACTAGGTGGCTGTATGAAATTTAGCATTCCTTAATGGTGGTCGAACCCCAAGAAGGTTTTGCTCCCTCGCATCGCAATGTTTTCTACACAGGGTTAAAGTTCCCCCTCTTTGGTAAAAACTAGTATTATTTTTCATTACATTCGGTTTTCCTTAGAAAAATTTGGCGCTTAATATTTTAGTGGAAATTTTAACCATCTATAAGCCATTTTTTTTAAACAGTGGGTCGTTCTGGTTCGAGTTGAGGGTTACATTTTTGGAAAAAAGGAGACCAACCTTGTTTTCAATATGTAATCCGCAAAAAATCGTAAGAGCTCTGTAATTTAACATAACGGTTGATAAGATTATTGCAAAAATTTATTGATATCTACATAAATAACTCCAATAGCTTAACTTTTAAAATTTTTGCATTTCTTTAAATTTAAATAGTACATACGGATCTGTAGAGAACATAGAGCGCCATGTGTGTATGTATGAATATACCGCAGACCTTCTTCTAATCGCCCATCCATCAGCGCCAGACACTCAACATTTTAATTAAAGTAAGAAGTAACGTAATTTAAATTTAAAACTAATTCAATAAATCGCCGCCGCCGCCGATTATTTTTGAAGTTGACCATGCCGCCGCCGCAAAGCCTGACGGCGTAAACCTCTAGTACATACGTACATATATGGGCATTGTACTTGCATACATTGGGCCACATGCAGAAATGTTCCTACGTACGAGCTTACGACCATTCCGTACAAAATAACCTGCTTTTATATGCACCATGCTGATGCAGTACTTATCAAAGTTGTCATTTGGCCGAGCCGGCTTATTGACGAATGACAAGTGACGACAATTGAACGTTTGCAAAATTAACAAATATGGTGGTGTTGGTGATTTATGGACAGATTGTGTAATATAAGCAAGGTAAAAACTTTTGTATACTCATTCACTCATTTACGTACATATGTAGGTACATATGTATATGCGTGTATAAGATTGCGTGCGATTTGGCATGACATGCAGCAAAGTATTCGATCAAAACAATGTAAACACCAGCTAAGAACAGACAACAATCAAGAAAGCACGTTTTACTGATTTTATAAAATATTAATTTAAATTTCATATTTATGTATGTGTTTTAAAATATCCAACGACTCTTTGTTTTATTTTGTTTTCAAATATGTATTTAGGCTGTTTTGCGTTTTTTGTGCGAGATTTTTTTAAAACTTCTTCAAAACAAATATAGCAATATTAAGGGCCGGTTACTCAATGTCTGGTTAACACTAATCTGCGGTTAAACATCGTTATTGACGTCTTCGACTCCATGCATACAACAGGGAGTCGGTAACGTCGATAACTATGTTTAACCGGAGATTAGTGTTAACCAAACATTGAGTAACCGGCCCTAAAAGTGATCCTCTTCACTAAAGCAAGAACAAACATCTATGGATATGTAGTAAATTTATATACATAGATATATATGTACATATATGTAAGTAGTTATGAACAAAATATGGATTCCAAACAACCTCGATGTCCCTTGAGTTCATTGCAATTTATTACGTTGGCAGTAATTATCTCGTTTAAGGTCACATTTGCCTTTAATACCCTTTTATGTCATTATACTTATGTACATATATATATGTATATATTTATGTAAGTACAAAATATTTAATTGAAAAAGGCAGATTAAAACTACATACATATGTATGTACGTATATGCATGCACCACGATGAGAAGAGATATTGTGGAAGAATTGGTTGGATGCAATGCATAGTGTAACGTCACAATGCAACTTGCGGTCAACAATAATAAACCTGACACTACCCTGAACCTTTCAGCATTTTTTTTTTCATAAAATATGTAAATACAATAAAGCCCTTGGAACCTAGAATACACCGACTGAGCTGTTTACAGTGCATATAAACACTGAGAAAAAACCAACCAAAAATTTGGTTAATATTACCAAATTCAAACGTGAAAAGGAATCAATGTGATTGGTGATTCACAATGCCAACAACAATGATTTGGTAAGCAGCAAAAAAAATAACACTACAAGTCGCCTCTGGCGGCATTTGAACCCGAACCTGCTAGAAGCTAACAAATAATAGCAAGTATTTCTGCAATTCGGCCACAGCCAGACATTTACCATGAAAAAATCAAACAATAACTTGGTTGAAAAACCTATTGTACTTTTGGCTCGGTGTACTCTTTTAAACTACATGGACATTTTAAACGCATTATTACAAAGCTACAAATGCAACCTGCTTGTAGACGTCCTGTGCCGTTTTTTAGATCGTAGGATTGAGGTGGCTCTTAGCCAAATACTACAGCGTGTAAAACAAAAACTGAGTGCATTAATAGCTGCGAGTAGAAATTTCATAGGAAAAATTTCAGAAAGGCCGAAGTTTGCACACGAGCTTAAATTGTATTCTCCTTTTTTGTAATAAAATACTTAGTTCACTTATTATTTGGAAATTAATCGTAGTCTTAATCTTAATTTCGCTTATATATCAATCTCTATGTTTATGTTTATCTTGATATGGGGAAATCTTTTGAGATGGGGACATCTTGCGTACTGACATATTGGTGCCGCCACAAAGCAGCTGCACTGCAAAGTGTGGTTTCTATACATACCTTCGTTAATACTACTTACATGTGTACATAAATATTAGTAAATAGTAAATCTACTTTTTATTAAGGTATAACTTCTTGAGCGATCTAACCTTAAGCTCGGAATTTTCAGATGTTCATTTGTAAGTTCTGAGGAATTAAAAGACGGGCATTAAACAAATGTGGCAGATACCAAATGCGAGAAAAAGGCTGCTCACAACTGTACTGAATTTCGCGTATTTTATAAAAAATCGCGAATTTTCTTGTGATAGCCGTTGAACGGTGCTTATTTTACATGTGTATGTATAAAATATACTACTTCTTTACTTCTTCAGAAGAATCCTAGGACAACGTGCTACTTAATATTTCTAAAAAAATCGCCTAGAGAAAACGCGTAACCAGTGCGTAACTTTTTACTTAATAATGGGTTTTCATTGAGCACAACCAATCAAAGGCAGAAAAATTTATATGTCATGACGTAATATTTTGCGTTTGTGTATTTAGGTCTGTGTAAAAAATGCTCACCTCTAATTTTTTTTTTAATGGGCAGTACTGGATAATCCTTCATCTCTTTATTTTTATATTTGTCTTTATGCCTGTTGTAATCTATCTGCATACTTATCATTCTATGCCTTTGTTTCTCTCCCAATAGGCTCAAGTATGGAAAAGATGGAGTCCACCTGGATAACTTGCATTGCGTTTTTATGTTATGCATTTATGTTCCATTTTAATTATATCTTTATAAAAAAAAAACTATAAGTTAGTTTTTGCCTCAATCGCGGAAAAAAACATTTTGGAACGGTTAAATACTCTTCTTTCATTTCCATATATACGTACATATAATCAAGGCTTTTTAAGAGCGACAGTTAAAATTCTACACTATTTGGTATGGATTTTGGGCTTGAGGCGTCATTGGACCATATTATTGTGAAAATAAGTCAGGTAAAATGCTTACTGTTACTGGTGCTCGGTTCTAAAGTACAGTGACTCAAACAAGTGTTGATTTTTTAAATACTCACAATGTTTTCTAAGTTACTTTTCTATAAAACTTTTGTCCTTGCCTTTACCAAAACCATACAAATCAAAGTTTCAAACTCTATGCAAAATTTCGGAAAATTTTACAAATTTTAAGTCCGTTTTTAGGTTAGCACTTTTGTAGCCCATACAATTTTAGTAAAGTGCCAATTTCAGGCGGATAAAAAATTGCGTTGATTTTTAATAATGTCTTTTTTTTTGTCGACGTATTTTTGTATTTTTTTTCAATATATGCATGAATTTCTTATGAAACAAAATGCGCGAGACCGTTCGCAACAAAATTTCAAAACATCAACATATCGTCGTTTAAAGTACAAAACGGCGTATCAACAAAATGCAAAACCGCGTATGTGAAGTTGTAGAAATTATTTTCTAGAGCGAAAAAACACTCATATTTCAAAATGGTTCCCTTTTTTATAAAGCAATCGCATTTCTGGCTAGTATATTTCAGGACAAATGGATAAGGATTGAGCCAAGAGCTTGTGTGAGCAAATCCAATTTTTGGCAGCCAATGTCAGTTACGCGGTTTTGCAGAATGACGATACGCGGTTTTGTACTTTAAACGACGATATGTGTTAGCAAAGCCTGGAGGTAGTACGCATAGCGTATGCGTGAAGTTGAAGAATATTTTCATACTAATGATCAGGGTAAATGTAAATTTGGGCACTAAGAATTATATTTATTTTCTTATGTTCCTCTCCTTTGAAAATACTAGCTAAATATCGGTCAACAAGAATTTTATGTTCTTCAGGTGCTAAGTAGGGATGTTGATTTTTTCGATTTTTACGATTCCAGGAGTCTCGGAATGTCGTTGGTTCAATCCCGGGAACCCGGGATCAGTTCAGAGATTTAGATATTTATTGTTTTTCAACAACTTAACATGAAAAAATTGTATCAATATGGTTTGAGAAGCTCTCCTACCATATAATAAACAATAAGTAAATGTGTTTGGAACGTACTTTTTTATTTAAAGTGAAAATTATTTCATAAGTAACAAAACGAAAGACAGTAATTTAATTTATATGCACTTAATAATACTTTAGCGTTTACATTTCTGATAAAGTAATTTAAGGTATGTCGAAAAAAGCTCTATGCAAAAAAAAAATTAAGTGAAAAAATGTATTTTCTGGTTGAAAGAAGTTCATAATACCAGTGGCAGAAATAAAAGAAGCGCCTAAATTCGACCAGTTTTGTATATTCCTTTTGTTTATTCAAAATTTACATTTTTTTATAAAAGTCTACCTCATATTACATATAAATGGGAATTTCTCTGATGTCATGATTTTTTAAAAAATACTATAATTTCATAGATATGATTAATTCCAAAACTTATTTAAAAAAATTCAATGCAATGTAAAACAAAAATATGGGTACCAAATGCAAGAATTTTTTGGGATCACAAGGACGAATATGAATTGAAAATGCCCCTTTAATCTATTATATTTTTTTAAGCTAATAAAGATGTTCCTTAACATTTCGTTTTTTTCAAAAATAAGAATTGCAAGATTTCAAGCATATTCAAGGGTAAAATTATAAAAGGGTATTTTCAATAACTACCCGTCTCTAACGCACTAAAAATGGAATATATTTTAACCCTACAGAATCTTCTCTTTTATTTGATACCCATACTGGTTTCTTAAGTACATTGCACTGAAATTTTTGAGTAAAATTTAAATTTCAAAGTTCTTTCAATGATTCCTAAAGTCAGAGAGAAAAATTAAGAACGCAATTTTGTTATATTTGGCCCTTGGTTTCGCGAATATATTCATTTTGTTTGTGTGCAAAATTGCCTGTCGCAAGGCATTATATGTACATATATTGAGCTACACATGTATAAAAAAAAAAGTATTAAATAAACAAAAGCAACTCCGGAAGCCCGGGATTAACATTCCTAGTGCTAACGTTGGCCCAACAACAAGGTTCTGATGTAATCGAACGTATGAACGAACAACCGATTAAGCATGCGGAGTGACGTGTGGCCGAAGCCATAGGCAAAATTAACTATTTAAGTAATAAAAGCAACGTAAAACTTACATAATTGAAATTTTCTACTTAAAATAATAAAAGTATTAGTTTTAACATCCATGGGAAATATGAAAGTTTCCAAGTTTTTACTAATTTCAAACCAAATAAGAACTATGTAATATGTTTCCTATGCCCACTATCGGAAACTGCCAAGAAGTTTTCAAGCTTTGAACTAGCAAACATTAAATACATCTCTCTTCAAAACAGCTGCCCGTTACTAAGAAGAATTTACTAAACCATATGTTGTGTATACTACATAAATACATACATTGAAAAGTGTCAACAATGAATTCCTAGAACAAAATTGCAATGTGTTTATGCAGTATTTTACGGATATAAGCAGCATCGAAAATGCACGACATTCTTTGTTTATGAGCGGGAAGTTCTTGTCTGAAAATGTCTTGTATGAAAAGCACTGACTGCACATTACCAGTGACTCATTCAAGTGAACAGAGAAGATCAATTACATGTAAATAAATAGTAAATTGGTTGCCACAGGGCTCGGAAATTTAATGAGCAGTCAAAAACTGTACAAATTGTACATAAAAGAGTTTCTAAATGAACGATAAATTCTCAGTGCTTATAAGCAGAAAAATTAAAAATTTGTCGGTACTTGTAAGCGGGAAATGCTTATAACCGTGGTTCTTATAAGCGAGAAATACTGTATTCCGGATGGCTATGTTAACAATCATTCCAAACCCCGTATGCGGTCGCCCAGGGCATTTCCATTCTCAGATTATAGTATGCTCAGGTTGAGCCATAAACTCAAGTTTATGGGTCATTTTGGAGTTCAACACTAAATTCTACTCTTAAACTCGGAGTTTACCACACAAACAGTTTTCTTTAAAAACTTCTTTTATTTGGTTTTTATGGGAATGCAATTTTTTTACTAAATGCAAAAACCAAAACAGTGACTCGATGGAAATTTTGACGCTGATTTCAACCATACCAAAATTATTTGGCGCAAAAAATAATAATGAAGATATAAAGGATTAAAACTAAATTTTGGATTTTTTTAAATATTAATGGGTGTGAAGTTATTGATCCAATAATTGATTAAAATGTTTCAAGTTCACGAATAAAACAAAGAAAAACTAAAGTGCATTATTTTCTGGATTCTGCAAAACCGCGTAACTGAATTGGATTTGCTCACACAAGCTCATGGCTAAACCCTTATCCATTCGTCTTGAATATAATAGCTAGAAATGCGATTGCTTTACTCTCTAGAAAATAATTTATGCAAACTCACATACGCGATTTTGCATTTTGTTGATACGCGGTTTTGTACTTTAAACGACGACGTGTATTTAGTAGGTCTATAATACCCATCGAAAAATTACGCTCTATAAAAACACATAGTCTTCAAGGAGATAACATTGTGTATTAAAAAAAAACCCGGTACTTTATTATCTTCTTATCACTCTAAAACTAGGTTTACATATAAGTAAATTATCCCCATTTTCGAGCCTAAATCCCTAATTTGTAATTAGAAAAAGAGATTAGCCATATAAAATTCGTCCCCCGTTAATCTGTAGTTATAAAATAATCTCAGATTAAACCGATAACTTTTCGGTTTCCAACCTAGATTTATCGATTATTTTTGCGAAGAAGAGGAGGAAAGCCAAATGAAAATACCAAATGAGTAAAAATAGTAATACTGAATACGATGGAGACTTGTGTGTTGTAAGAAACTTAACTGAACCCAGTTTTATCATCTTAACGAGAAGGACGGTTTCTTCCCCTTTATTTTTAAACGAGGTTTGTTTTAGATATATTTAGTTGTATGTATTAAGAGTAATTCTGGAGGCGCAACTTGATTTCTTGCGGAAAGAACTATTGCCTGTGATGCAAAATTTGTTAAATTCAAGTGCTGGCTTAATTCAAATACAGGTAAAACTGAAACTCACATCTCCAACGTACATATGTATATTCATCTGATTAGGAAAAAATTTGTATTAGGCAATTAATAAACGCAGTAAGTTTAAGTCATGGCTCATTAGAGCAAATAACTGTTTTTTCGCCACATTTCACCTTCAAATCGGCAAATATAACTTTCTATGCAATATGTTGAACTTTCGCTTTTGTAATTAGATGTCGCAGGGCTTGTTTCCGAAATTGTCTAAATCATTTCATGAATCTGATTTCAATTGTGCCTCAATGGCTTACAAGCAAACATGCTTATTTACTTAGATGTTTGTGCACGCACACCACACACAATAAATGTTTTGATGAAATTTGCAACATAAATAAGTATTTACATTTTTGGAAATTTCAACTTTCGTTTGGACTGCAAATGTCTTGAACCACTACCCACAAAAAAAAAAATATGAAATTTGGGACGCTGAAAATTTGTCACATTCGAAGCACCCACATAAGAAAATGATGGACACAGTAAGTTGGTGCACGCATACATAAATACATATGTATACAATCGTAAGTTTTTGGTTTATTTGTCTTTCGATTTATTAGCTAGCGAACTAGTGACACAATGCCGAGGAAAGCTTAAATTTTTTTATGGTTAATTTTTATGTCAATGCTCATTCAATAAATGCTATTATCGGAAATAAAGCGACGAACGCGAGATCACATGCCAAAATGCCGCTTGATTGCTTGTAATAAGTTTTAACTACATAAATAGTTATCTGTAATTTTTATTATATTTAATGATTTTTTAAGTTTGTGTATCATTTGCCGTGCTTGTGTTTTTGTTTTTGAATAATAAACTATCTTCAAATTGATTTCATGATTTTAATGTATCTAATGAGATTCACTTGCAACTCTCATGAATATAATTAATTTCAATATATGTACAAATAAAAAATATGTATTACAATTTGCAGCAAAACTACCCACAGACAGAACTATGTAATACACTTGACCATAGTATTGTTTGACTTACATACATACACGGTACTTGAAATGTATATAGTTAGAATGTATGTACATATGTATGTATGCATGTTAAATTCACTCAAGGGATAATAAAATTGCTGCGATTAACGTCATTAACACTTTTTTATGTGCAAAATCTTGCTATTGTGAAGAAGTTATATTGTGAATATACGATTTGTTTGTTTATGTTTTCATTGTACGGCTAAGACTTGAGGGCAGACATGAATCACGATCCAGAAAATAAAGGTCGCGCCATTCGCGGACCGCTAACCCTCTCTTCGTCGATTTGACAGCATCCACCCAATCGCTGACGTCATAAAATACTTTTGTTTACATTCACTGTTGCCAACTTCATGCTTTTCGCACCAAATTTAGTGGGTATTCAAAACGCGAAAATTTTTTACTTTTGTGCTTGGTGCGTTTTTGGTGCTTTTGTTTTTAGTTTGAAGACACAAAATTAGAAAATCTTAAAAAAATTGAAGAAAAATGTATAGCAATCGTAAGTGTGGTAAGCAATTTTACAAGNGACATGAATCACCTCACGAAAGCGCTGCTTATCTTTGTTATTGCTCTCCCTAAATTGGAGCGCGAAGCGTTGCGTTTTCCACTGTCAATGAGTGTCAGCGCGCGCTATCCTCAAATCAACGCGGTGTTTCTCATTTCCTCTCGTTTTTATTGTCGTTTCCTCTTTCACTTGTTCTTGTTCTTGTCTTCTCCAACCAATATCAGCATGTAACGTATTTTTTGAAATTAAACCTCCTTAACATCAAAAACCCAGCAGGACTCTTAGATTAATGCATTTTCAGAAAATTCTTTTTCGCTTGAAATTATCACTTCCGGGTAGGTATAATTTCAGAAAATATAAATTAAGCACGATGTACTTATCTATCGTAAGTAGCCACTTTTCAATGAAGTATGTTTTTAATTAAAAACTGATAAAAGATTTCCTTAAAAAAAATAAGTTACATACATGCATCCGATAAGTACTTAATTTCTATTTATATGTAAGTGGACGGCCAGTTGTATAAATCAGTGATGGAAAAGTAGGTACAATAGTATTATTATGGAACTTATTTCTGAAATATCTCCCATGAAACAGATCTGCGGAAGTAATGTCGGAATTTACTTCCATGGACCAAACATTTATTGATGGTAATAATTTTACGACATGAAAGACTGAAAAAGTTCAAAAAAAAAATTATGTAGTAATCGCACGCGTAGCTGAAGTAAAACTTCTTCCTACTACCCGTGTGGCTAGCTCACCATATTTTATGAGTATTTTTCTACTTAATAAAGAATTATTATTTTAATCTAATTTCAATTTCAACCTCAATCTTAATCTTAATCTATTCTTAATCTTAATGTGCTGGCTGTTTGCAGCAAAGCGCAGTCAATACTCTAATGTAATGGAAATGGGCTCACTCTTCATACGTGGGTCTTTTCAATGCCACAGGATAGTACGCCACCATTACCTTTGTTAAAGAGATTCTATAATGTTGAGTTCGCTGAAGCTGAATGTTGATTTAATTCCAGGACTGAGCCCGGACTCATACATTGTCAAATATTGGTTGATGGCTCCAAAAATGACTCTGGGTCAGCTTTGGCTAGCCCTCTAACTACTTCCAAACTAATTCGGCAATGCCAGTTTCGACTAAATTATGTCGGCCAACATAACGAGCTTGCTTTACTCTGGGTGCTCGGGAGTAATGAGAGATGTGACCACTTGGCCAAGGTTGGCTCAGACCACACATTCCACTGTCCGCAACCAGTTATAGCACACCTACCTTCAGCCATCGAAGCCACCATCAGAAACTGGGTGAATACTTCGCTCAGTAATGACTGGAAGGCATCGAGGCAAAACTCATGTTGTCTCAGAGGTTCTATCTAGTTTTTTTGCGATTATTGAGCAGACGAGACTGGGAAAAACATGGTGGACTGCTGACTGGTTACTTCCATGGCACATGCACCTGAAGACGATGGAAGCGTAGAACACTTTTTGTGCTTTTTCCCCGCCTTTGCAAGAATTAGGTATGTAACATTTGGCCGCGATCTATTGAGAGCAGTGATGCCAGATTGTGGTAATTTCCTCATTTGAGGGATATTTGCAACAAAAATTATTAAAAGGGAAAAAAGGGACATTTCAAGTAAAAAAGGGATTTTCTTTTGACACTGGTATAGATGCATAATTGATCAAAATTCAAGAATATTCGACACTCTTACGTAATTAATCGTCCTGAAGATGTGAGGTGGAGTGAAATGATATATAATTATTAAAAAGTATAAGCACAATTTTGAAAATTTTCTCACGTTAACCAATTCAAGCGCTATAATTGTATCTGGTGTTCCATGTAAAAAGCGGAAAAAATTATCTGACGAAATATTTATCAGCAAATGTATATGCTTCAATTTTAAAGTCACGAAAAAATCATATTCGCTTACACAATCCAAATAATTTGTAACAGTGATAGCTTTAAGGATTGGCAGTTAGTATACAACAATATAACACACAAATGTATGTATGCATTAGTTATCTTAATATATAAAAAAGTTCCTTCCAAATATTGGGTTTTAGTAAACACTGAAGCTAATTTATGAATGTAGTAGCTGTTTTTAAATTATTTTAGGCCTATGCCCTTTATGTGATAACATCAAGGCGCACGCCACAAATCGGAGGCAAAGCTCGGCCAAACATTAACATATGTGTAAGCGCCAATCGATTACTATTATTTTATATGAATGTTCCTTCTTTTCTACTAAAATATGTATATGTTTTGAACTCGTTTGGATTTTTTGAATTCGTGGGATTTTTAACAGAGAATGTCTGGTATCACTGATTGAAAGACAAACAACTGAGCGCTTTGACACCCAACAATCTGTGTGTAAAAAAGATTAAAAGGGCATGAAAACAGCACAATGGACGGCTTGTAGTCTGAGCGCTGTTTTCTGCATGCGTTGTTTTGTAGCTGGTTCCGACAAAAGAAAAATAACTCAATCTTGACCTTAAATTTATTTTTATTCTTAATCTTAGTATTAATATCAATCTTTAAATTATTCTTAAGCTTAGCCTTAGTTTCAATCTTACTCTTAATATCTCAACTTTAATATTAATTTTAGTCTTAATCTCTCATCTTAACCTTAATCTTAACTTTAATATGAATTTTAATTTTAATCCTAATATTAATATCTTAATATCGTAACTTTAATTTTCGTATTTTGCTTAAGCCTAATAATAAACGTATTCTTGATTTTAATATTAAGCCTTTTATCTTAACCTTAATATTAAGTTTAATCGTGCCCCGCCATCGCCTTGCTTCTTCTGTCTCTTTTCACTTGACTCGATTTTGGAATTAGAGCCCAACGATCGTGTCGCTTTTTCGTTACATCGATTAGAATTAACACCGAACTGAGCGCAAAGAAATTTCACATTAACGTCACGTTTCAGCCTCATAAACTTTCACCAGAGAGCTAAAAAAGAATAATCAGTTGAGACAAATATTAGCCCAACTCTCAAGATATCCTTCAGACGTCAATTGAGTATATATAGTATAGTTACTGAGTTATTGAGTATATATAGTATAGTTACGTCAACTAAATATGTTTCCTCAACCCGTGATTTGGTTATAGTTATATTATTTCTATAATATTGAGAATCCAATTAATTTGGTAGAATGGCAAATCATATCTTTGATCGCACACCCAGAAAAAGTCAGCTAACTATATTTATCTCAACACATAATTTGGTTATAGTTACGTTATTTAGTTAAAGTTGCCAAATCATGTGTTCAGAGAAGTATTTTTAATTGACCCTTTCTGGGTGTATAGGATTCCGGTTGTATTATTATAATGTAAAAATGTTAATACAAAAATTAATTAATAAAAAATAAATGTAAATGCTTATGCCCACATATACATTACCATACCACGTAAAAATTTTCTAACTAACGGATTTATGCAGAACCACTTACAATTCTCCCAGAGAGAGGAGATTCATGGGGGATAATTACTATACCAAACGCAAAAATTTTAGTCTTATTCCGGCCGCATTGCTGGATCTATTTTCTTTTTTTTTGACGTGTTATAATATACATACATATGTATTCACAGTTTCATAGATGTTCATGGTGAAAATATTTTCAAAGTTTAGATATTGCCACCTTCATCTTACATATCTTTGATGCCATCAAAATGTTATATATCTCGCAAACCAACTTGTATTAGTGCAAAATCTAAAACTATATATAAATTCCAACATAAGAAACATGATTTTTTTACTACATAGTCATGTGCGTACAAAAATATGCAAAGTAAATCGAGAGCAAATCTAAGCGGCAGCCTCAATAAAAAAAAATAAAAAAATGCAATAAATTATTTTCGTCGACACACTTTTTTATGCATATACACATGAAAATGTATATGTAAAAATGCCTATGTATATCTAAATACCATGTGTTTGCCGGTTATATGAATATTTATAAATATACATATAGATTTGTTTATGCGTGCGCCAAAATCTCATAACAAGGCGCCTAACCGAAACCGAAAGACGAAATTCGGTTATTTTTAAGTGGTTAACGAAATCGAATATGTTAATAATTAACACACAAAACAACAACAAATTTCAAATACGATTATGGCCTTTTGATTCTCTAACCCAGGAGTTTCCTAACTTTTTCACCGCGGCACCCTTGTTGAGCTAAAAAAAATTTCGCGGCAACCCTACTTTTCAAATGTCTACGATAACGGGAGAATATAATGCAAACTTTATGCTCCTTTAGCTTTAATGTGAGGACTGAAATTGTTTTGGTGATTTCATTACTTCCTTTAAGTTTATTGGGAGCTTTGACAATTTTACCCTGAAACCATTTGTCGCTGAAAGCTTGCTGGTGCTTGCTTTGTTTTTAACCGACTTCACAAAAAGGAGAAGGTTACCAATTCGTCGGAATATTTTTTTGTTATTTTTTTTTATGTATTCTACCGCATAACTTTGGACCACGTTAACCGATTACTATAATTCTTTTTTTTTAAGGAAAGGTATTATCTCACAGGTGGCCCCTTTCTATGTCAGTTTAAATCCGATCATTGGATCATGAAGAGATTAACGATGATCTTAAATTTGTATATTGGTATTGAAGTTGGTTACGTTTTTTGCTTAAAAATTACTTGTTTATGTTATGTATTTTGAAAATGCATTCTCACATAGAAATGTAAAAGTAAAAGTCACTGATATTTTTAATGCAATCTTGCCAATAGCAGTGTTTTCTGCATACACTTGCATCCAGAACCCTCTTGGCTCCCTTCGTAGTATTTATTAATCAAAGTGCTGTCTTCACCGATGTCCAGAAGTTTTTCAAAAGCTTAATTTGTCATCTCAGTAGGTTTACTTTTCGGGTCCATGAAAATGGGTTTGTTTTTCAGCTGTAGACATCCTCAGAGTCAAACCTTCCACGTTAACGTTGGGAATGAGCGTTAATGCTAAGAAAATAATTTTTACAGCCAATTTTACGAAAGCAATTTAAGTGAATAATGATTTTAATTTTTTGAATACTATATGGAAATTGACAGAAAATAAAAAATCATTTTCCATTTAAATTGCTGGTGAAACCGGCTGTTATCCAGCGTTAATTTCGAAACTACTTATAAACGTTTTTCTGATTTTCTTTTTTTATTTATGGGGCTTTCATGCAAAAATATACATGTCTTCAATAAAAAAAATCTCAACGTGCTAGAAAAAAATCAAACATGTATTTTAATTTCACAGGCCTCTGTTATCTTCGTAGCGTCATCCAATACGGGTCTTTAATCTAGTGGCGGCATCTTTCTAGTCGCCAGGGAATACCAACGGATCATACAGTGCCTTCTCGTGACGTTTTCTGCCTCTTGCTTCATCCTAGACATCGCTCATTTCGTTTTTCCAACCACTGCAAATATCCGCACACTTGCTCCATTTCAAACCATTTTTCTGCACAAATTTGTCGATAGCTTTAAAAATTTCGTCGCTAGTGGTGTAAGTCTCAAGTACTTCGCTCATCAAAAGTTCTTCTTCGATTTGCATTGCGAATGGGTACCTCACTAACACGAGAAGAGCATTAAGTCCCACTACGTCGGTACTTTCGTCAAGTTGCAAACTAAAAAATTCACAAGTTTTCAAACTTTTTATAAGTTTGTTTTCGACTGCATCTAAAACCGTGTTGATTCGCTCTTTCCCAGTATGATTGTGAAGTTCCAAAGAATAATTAACATATATATGTACGTGCGCGAAGCTGCTGCACTTGTTACGAGACCAGCCCAGCCGGAAAAAAAATCCGAAAATTAATCCGAAAACGAGAAAAAAGTGGATGAAACGCTTAAGAGCAAAATACACCACACAAGCGGCTTGGACAAACCGAGCAAAATATCCCTTTGCGGCAAGCCATTTGTGTTGTGTATGGGGTTTGACGAGCCGGTGAAGGTAATTTTAATAAAAATCTAAATTTTCTGGCTGCCATGTAGAAGATTGAACAAACCGCTTGCGTTGTGTATAGAAAGTTTAAAGAATTTGCCCGCACCATCCCAGGTGCCGCGGCACCCACTTTGGGAAAGCCTGCTCTAACCAACTATTAATTTTTTTTAAGATTTCACGAAGTTTGAAGCTTGGACTTATACTCTTTTTGTTAAAGAATAAAGAATATTAAAAAAATAATAATTAAAATTAAAAATAATAATAAAATAAACAGTCAAAACTTGTCAATAGGTCAGTCTCATATAATTATGATAAGCACTATACATACTAGTGGTATTCATCTAAACCGATAACTTTATCAAGCAGATAAT